CACACACACACACACACACACACACACACACACACACACACAATCACACATGTGAATACACCTCCTATGGATTCTTTATTGAAAGCTCCCAGGGAAGCCACTTGGAACCCATGTAAATGCCTGTGTCTGAATAGGCTGATGTGAACGTGTGGCCACTTGACTTCTTAGCTCACCTGATACCAGCTCACTGTCAGATTTGTTCCCACTTCAGACAGCCACACTGAGGCCCAAAGAGGGTGACTTGGCCAGGTGTCCAGCCTCCCAGCCCTGGCTTGTGAGCTGCACCTGATGCCCAAGGTCAGGGTCCCAGAACAGGGCTGGGCTTGTCACTGGGCCAGGTTCCTCATGGGCTCTTGGAAGTGGCCAGGCAGACTGCAGATTTGAGAACAACCCTTCCATCCTCTCCACCGCTAACTGCCTCAGCTACACACCCCTCCCTGACCTGGTCACAGGCATGCCCTCCCCCGCACAACAATGATGTACCAAGTATGGCCAATGCGAATCCTCCCCTGGGACTGGCTGGCAGACACCAGAGCAGATGCCGGAAGATCAAAGCCAGGCACAGGGAGAAGCAGAGCTGAGGGGCGCACGGAGTCCTTCTGTTCCTAAGGCCCAGGTACCTAAAGTTCTGCCTTCAGCCCCATGACATATCAGGGAACCTCTCCAGCCACTGAGGTGCATAAATACCCTCATTGGCTTAAGCTGGCCCATGACACCTCTTCTCAAACCACGTCCTTCCCTACAGACCATATCAAGCCTGTGATTCAACACGCATTTGAATATTTTATCCTTCTCCCTCATGAGTGGAAACTCCCTGCAGTGAGACCCCCATCCGCAGCTTTCCCCGCTGCCTTCCTTGCACCCAGCGCAGGGTCTCAGGCACAGTGCATGCTCAGTAGCCAAGGGAAGGAGCCTGTCTGTACCTCTGCAGCTTTGTGACTAGACAGACTCTATCTACCTTTGCATCCGACCAGCATTTCACTGGACAGAGTACACGATGAGGGTTGGCCTGAACCACAGGCTCCGGGAAGCCCTCAGAATTCATCTGGGGAGCCAGAGGCCCTTCAGAAGGGTGGGCCACACTCCTTGAAGCCTAGGGCTGGAATCGAGGTCCAGGAAGCCCATCTGATGCTGTTCTGGAGAGCAGGCCCTTGGGAGCAAGACCCCACGGGCAGAGAAAACCAGAGGTAAATTTGGGGCTGGACTGCTTTTCCCTTGAGCAACTTCAGGCACTTCTCTCCATCCTGATGGCTAAGGTTGCTAGGGTGGCAAATGGGTGCTGGGCACGAGCCATGCACCAGGCACCCCACTCAGTACTTCACATACATCATGGGCCAGAGCCCCGAGGTGACTCCCAGGGTAGGCACTATCACCTCCACTACACAGTTGAAACTGAGGCGGGAAAGCTGGGGGACTTATCCAAGGTCGCCAGGCTGAGAAGCAACACACTTCTCAGTGTGAGGCTGTCCCTGCCTTCTAGCATCTCCACACCTCCCCCACACCCAGAGGGGAAGGGAGGTGGAGGGGGGGCGGTGCTGCTGCAGAAGCCAGATGAGCTCCCGGAAATCTGGGAGGTTTCAAGATAGGAGCCTGGGGAATAGGCCACAGTCAGGGCCCCCTTGAGGCTGCTGCAAGGGCCCCGGAGGGCTGAGGGTGCTCTGTTGCTGGAGTAGTCAAAAGACAGTCTCCAGTGTCCCGCCCCCTCCCCTCCCCGACATTCTTGCTGCCAAATGAAATCTGGCAGCTTCTGAAAATAGCTCAGCGCTGCAGCAGGCACTCTGCCCGCCCTTCAGCAGGCTGGCACGCAGCTGGGGGTGGCCACTGTGGGCAGACGCTGGCACACATGGGGCCCGGGGGTGGGTGTCACACACACGGTGCACCGGGGTAGCACCGAGCTGGGGCCGTGGGGCAGCTGCCATCCTGAGCTCCTCTGACCTTTCCATGCCTAGTGAGGCCACAGTGGCCCTTGAGTCAGCCTGGCATGTTCACCAGGCTTGAGGCACCCTCTCTAGTAGGGGTGAAATCACTAGTGGGTGTGAGCAGCTGCTCTTGGGCCACTTTTGTCCACTCGTATAGACAAAGAGAAACCCAGGAACCAGGGAAAAATGCCAAAATGGTGTTTATTAATATCCAGATACAAAACCCAGCAGCATTGTCCTATGTGACGTGGCCTAGGGTTTCCCAGCCAGTAAAGGGGTCAGAAACCAGGAAACAGGCTGGGCGTCAGGCACTTGTCAGGCCCAGTCAGGCATACAGCATCCTAAGGCTACCCTGGGCAGGGTGGGGCTGGGTAAGCCTGGACTGCCAAGGAAGGGGCTGCTCTCTGCTCTGACTCAGGCTGAAGCCAGGACCAGACCTTCTAAGCATCACGTAGGCTCTCCACTGCCTCGGAGTATAAAAAGAGACCCCTGATTAACCGGGAGCCTCTTGACCCTGCCCCCAGCCATCCACTTTCACAAAAGTACACCAAGAGACAATCTCTGCCATCAAGACAGGGTGGAGGATGAACCGTTACTAAGAGAGATTTTCCTACCTGGGATCGGTGAACAGGTAGGGGCAGGAGAACTGTACTGACTTGTCACAGTGACATTTTCCAAAGTAGAAAAGGGTTAAAAATACCTCACACCCTCACTTGAGATGAGAGGCCATAGCAAACAGAAGGGCTGGGCCCAGGAACGTGGAGGGAGAGATCCAATGGCCCTGTGGGGTGGGGATGCCGTAAGACAATCCTGGACCACCCAAAGAGGCAGGCAGACTGACCCAGTGGCCTCAGGGAGACCAAAGAGGGCTGAGCCTGAGAGAGGCAAGCAGTGGGAGAAAGGCAAGCCTCCACAAGAAGGCCAAGGCGGACACTCAGTTGCCCCTTCCCCCTCCCTTGCTGTTCACTCAGCATTCACAGGCAGCAACTCTGTCCCTGGTCACCATGGTAACCCATGGCCAGATGCCTTCCCCAAGGACAGGCCCATCTGCCCACCCTACAGGGGGGTGTCCCCACGGAAGGAGGGAAGCCCAGCCACAACTCCCAGTGGCCCAGAAGTCTAAGGCCATGCTCGAGGGCAGGACAGAGCCACGACGCTCAGGTCATTCTGGGCAAGGCACTGCAGCTGTAGCAGGTGGCTCCCTAGCCACCAAGCACTGGCCCCTCTCTAAGGCCTGAGCCTGAGCTGGGGCTCTGAAGGAGGTTTAGGGTCACGGTCTCTGATCCTGAAGTTCCAAGTGACAAATTAAAACACAATAAAATAGTCCTTTTGTTAAAAAAAAAAAACAAAAACAAAGAAAAGACACTGGGCCTTCTGGGCTACAGCCTCCGCCCACGCCAGTCTGTCCCTGGGCTGCGAGGCCTGGCTCCTCCAAGGCCCGACGAGCTACTGGTGGCTGCAGCCCTGTGAGGCCGAGGAACCGCCTGCCTGCTTCTTTCTCCGCTTGTTGAGGAGCCGGTTATTAGAGGTCTTCAGGTCCTTGATCTTCACCTGGTCATAGTCCACCCTCATGGTTGCCAGGGCACTCGTCATCTCCTCCTGGGGACAGATGTCAGGGTGTACTGACCTGAAAAGCCGTCACCCTCCTGCCTGGGCAGCCCCTTATAATGTCAGTGGTGGCAGTGACAATCTGTGCTGCCCGAATATCTACCGTGTGCCCAGCACTGGGCCTGTCCATCTTCATCACGCAATCTTCCCTACAGTCCTTTGTGGTAGACACCAAGCTTATCCACTGAAGCACACGAAGTGCCTTCATGACTCCCTGGGAGCACACCAGGGTAAATAGGATGGGGACCTGGACCACTGTTGCCTGCTCAGAACCACAAGGCCTGCGGGGAATGTCATCTTGCTGGGCACCCAGGGCACTGGGGCCTGAAGATTGTGCCCGGGGTGCCCTGAGGTTCCGGGTTGCTGCCCCATATGCTCAAACCTGGCCTCTGCTGAGTCTAAAGTGGAGCTGAGCACCCTCCCAAATATTGTGGATTATACGACAGGTTATGGCCAAAGCCCCTTCAATGAGCCCCTGGCTCAAAGCCCCCCTTTGTTGAGGGAGTGAGCCAGGGGCATCACCCAGAAGTGGGGAGTGCAGCCAATGTTCTGTGTGTTACGCTTGGACCACGGGTGCAGTCACTGACAGCCTGTGCCCCAGGCACAGGACAGGGCCCTAAGACCCAGGCTCTGAGTAGCCATCAACCTGGAGTCCCTTCTCCAAAACCCTGGAACCTGCAGAGAGACTGAGGCCAAGTGCACTCACCTTGACTTCGTCCCAGTGGTCTTTGTCCTCCTGCAGCACTCGGGCCGTGTAGAGTGGGGTCTGCGGCACCACCATGGATTGCTGGAAGGTGCCCCAAGCCCATGGATTAGAACTTGCTGGCACCTGGGACAGCACTGACTTCCCCATCCCACCCCCTTTCTTCTAGTCTCAGATGGGGAAACTGAGGCTCAGGGAGCTAAGGAGCCTGACTGGCAGTCAGATTATAGGTGGGGCACTGCCACACATCTGTGGCCCACACCAAAGCCTCCAGGGCCACAGCCATCCTGCCGGCCACAGGACAAGGAAGCACTCACATTGATCCAGGGATGGTTCATAAACTGTGTGATGGTCAGCCGCTCTGTGGGGTCTGTCTTCAGCAGGAGGCGGATCAGCTGCTTGGCTAGAGACAAGACGGGGGGTGGTGAGGTGCAGAGTTCCTCAGAGCCAGTACCTTACTGCTCCCCATAGACCACAAGCTCTACATGTGCCCCCAAATTCCTAACCCACAGAAACAGTGAGCTCAGGACTGTTTCTTATTGTCAGCCTCTAAGCGGTTGGGGTCATTTGCTAAGCAGCAATAGATAATTGATACAGGGCAGACTGGTTTGTGGTCCCCACAGGGCAAAATATGAAGGAGAGACGGGGAGTTAGAGAACGTTTTAAGGAGGCAAATTCTGAGCCCATTTGGCAGATCTAGAAACTGAGGTTCCAAAAGCTACATGACTTACCTAGGGTCACACAGCTGGGATGTGGGGGAGCCAGGGCTTAAACACAGGTTGGTCTGACACCAAAGTGGTACCTCCCAGAACGAAGGCTGATGGGGGCCAGTGCAGAGGTCACTCACCATCCTCGGAGACCTCCGACCACTCAGGGTTGGGGAAGCCATACTGGCCCAGACGGATCCTCCTTTTCATTCCTGGGGAGATGGCCTGGCCCGTGTTGGAGTAAAAGGGTGGGAAGCCGCACAGGCTGGGGGAGGGGGGAGGTTATTCAGCACAGGTGTGGAGGCAGGGCCAGAGCGGACCCTTTCTCCTCCCCAAGTCCCTGACTGGGGAGATGGGCAGCCGGACACCACGGCAACAATACCAGCCCTCTGGTCCCCCGGGCTCATCCCAGGAATGCCATCTACCCTTTGGCATGGAGAGGCCTTCAGGTAGCCTGAAAGAGGGGCGTACCACGGCCAGAAGGGAAGGGCAGCCTGCATGCGGAGTGAGCTGTTCAAGCACTCACCAGGGGAATGTGGGGGGCAGAAGTGGTACTGAGGGTCCATGCAGGGGGCGGTGCAGGAGGTGGAGGCAGTGGTACTCACAGGATGTACATGATGACGCCCAGGGACCACATGTCACATGACTTGTCATACTTCTCTGGACCCAAGACCTCAGGAGCTACCAAGGCAGAGGGCACAGGAGGGCTCTCAGCCCCAAGGGTCTTAGAGCCCAGGTGGGAGCCTGAAGCCTGGGCAAGGTGGGGAGCAGGTACCCAGGCTGGGGCAGAGCAGAACTGGTGTCTGGCACTTTCTGGGAAGGCAGCATGTGTGTGAACTTGGGGGAGGAAAAACAGCTCCCAGAAAAAAAATAAACCTGCTTTTAGGGTAGGCCGTAAGGAATGATAGCCTCCTAGCAACTCTGAGCCAGTCTCAGCCTTGGTGAGGGAAGAGAAGAGAGAAGTCCTGTCTGGGGCTGGTGGGGTCCTGCCACAGGCAAGAGGGCATCAGCCCACCAGCTGTCCTGTGACCCCTGCCTCTCTGAATGCACAGCCTAGGTCACTGGCAAGGAGGGACCAGGGGCAGGGCTCTGGGTTCCACTGTTAGGTTGGCTACCATCCCATGAGGCCTTGGTCTTCCCATCTGTGCACTGAGACGGGGAAGCCAGAAGGTTTCTAAGTTAAAATACTGCAAAACACGTCCTGATAAACAGTAGCATTTCATCTGTCTCAGGGGACTTCCTACCCCTAACGCGGCTCTCTCGGAAGGCCTCTCCTGAGAGAGAAGAGAGTCATCACCCCACTCTCAGGTAAGGGGCACTTTTGGCAGGGGCTTTTCTAGATCTGGGAGCTGTCTATTCACAGGAGAGTGAGGAGCTTTTCCAGGAAGCATGAGGATGTGCACGCCCCCAGGTCCCATCCATGCCCTGGCCAAAGGGACCCTCTCCTACAAGGCAGGTGGCTGGTGCCCTATGTCCCTCTCATGTAAAAAGAAAGGCCTGCCCACTTTCTGAATATGAATCCCAGGAAGATAAGAACCGGAGGAAAACAAGCATGGTTGGGCTCCGTCCAGAGCTGATGGCAGCCTTTTATCACATATATATTTAGAGCTGCTGTGATGTCATTCAGCTCACAGGCCACAGCCAGAATTTTCCTGGATCTATTTTCAAAAGCAGAAGCTGAAGTTTGGAAGAATATTTTTGCAGCCTCCGGCCCCCTACATCACCGCCTCCATTCCTTACTGGGCTTTAACCCTTTGACTTCTGCAACCCACCAGCTGCTCCACACCACCACAGGGTCCAGTGGGGGTAGGGAGGTCCACGCCATGTCCCAAGGACTCACCTACATAATAGGGGGTGTAACAGGGTGTCTGCAGGGCATTCTGGGTGGTCTCCTTGGCAAAGCCAAAGTCAGTGAGCTTGAGCACTGAGTCTTTCTCCTTGGACGTGTAGAGTAGGTTTTCAGGCTGGACCAGCAAGAGAAAACATGCGTCTGGCGTTAGGCACCAGGTGGGGGCAGGGTCCCAAGGTGATCTTCAGCCACACTTCCTCCCTTTCTCATCCCAATCGATGCAGGAAGAGCCAAATCCATCTCATTAAAAAGACCTGGGCCTTGGCCACCAACAACATGGGCCAAATATAGAGAAGACCAAGGTGGCTGAGAGATGATACCTCCTTTGGCAGAGGGGAAACCAAGGCAGGTGTTCAGCCAAGGTTGTGAAGAACCAAGTGCCATAGAGAGCTGGAACTTCTGAGCCTGAGTTGGTGACGCTGCCATAAAATGTTAAAAATGAGGCTGCTCACAAGCCAGCGTTGCCAAGCACAGGTCCTATACCCACCCAGAATGAGCCAGCAGGGCAGTCCCACCTGAAGTTGCTCAGGGAGAAGGCTCCTACCTCTCAGGCCTCAGGAGCTGCACAGAGACAGTTCTTTCCAGCTGCAGAGCACAGAGGCCTTGAGGGATTGAGGGCAGTGGGGAGGTCTGCATGGGGAAGGCAGCCCTAATGCTGGTTTTTAATGAATCGTAGGACCTAGGCCCATGGAGAAGGACAGGAGGGACCCCCCAGCCAGAGCAGGAGTAGAAGGATGGGGTGTTGAATAAAGTTCCAGTTTGGAGCCTGTGAAAGCTATTTCTAAGGTTCTATTGAGATGATCCAACCTTGGATTGGGATGAAAACGGGAAAGCAGGTTTCATCTATACAAGGGAACATCCTCTATGGAAGGCTTTTCTCCCCTTGGGCAAGAAGTAAACCCAAAATAAAACCGGGGTTCAGAAGCTGAGTCTGTCATGGCTGCACGTGTATCCAGGATCCAAGGATAACTGTACGGGCTGGCAGTACTCAGCCAGAGGAAGGCCCTGGTGCAGCAGCTGGGCCCACGGCTCTCCTCCGCCCAGTCTCGGGAGGAAATAAGCCTCAGTGGCAAATGCTCTTGGCCTGGGCAGAGGGCTCAGGGCTTGTGGATTCCGCTCTGATGATGGCTGGCATGTGAGTGCGTGCATGCATGTGTGCGTGAGTGCGTATGCAGGGCTGCCTCCATTTGCATTTCATCCTGCTGATCCTGACAACCCCTAAGATCTAGTTTTCCCTGGATAGGAAATTGGGAGAGCCCATCCACCGAAAGGGCAAGCAGGCCCGGCAACTGAGCCGACCTCAGCTCCTTCTTCCGTGCCTCCCAGCAAATGGCTTCTTTCCCTTAAAAGGCTGGGGTTAGAAGGCAAAAACTATGGCCGTTACTTCACAGAAGCCCCCACAGTGTCAGGCAGCCCCTGCCTGAGGCCCCCGCACATTAAGTGTTCACAAAAATCCTTGCTGCATGAACAAATGAGCAAACCCCAGTGCGGCAACTGCACAGCCTTGGGCAAGACACTTGATCTCTTTCTGAGCCTCAGTTTTCTCATCTGTCAAATGGGCAATAGCACCTAACTCACAGGGTTGGGGAAAGGTAAACAAGATGCTTGCCAGGCCCTACTGGCTTGAGGTAGGCACTCAGCTATTGTTACAGCTTTTGGGGTTACAGAGTTTGAATGACTTGAGGAGGCCCATCTAGCTAGAGCAGAATGAGTATGCTGGAACCAAGGGAGAAGACGCTAGGAAGACCAGTCTGGGCCAGAGGGCACAGGCCTTGAAGGAACTTGGCCTCCATCTAGTGGGTGCCGGGAGCCATTGGAGGTTGTGGATGGCAATCCCTCCCCTGGTCCCCCAACCTGGGTCCTGGAACCTCACCTTGACGTCTCGGTGAGCGATATTCTGGCTATGCAGGAACTGGATGGCAGTGCCAATATCACGCATGATCTCTGCAGCTTCTGTAGACACAGAAGAAGAGTAAGTGATGCCAGTCAGAGGTCAGGCAGCGGGGCCCTCACCCTATTACTCCCCTGGGACAGCACGGGATGGTGACGGCACTCTTGCCACCCAGGACCCCCATCCCATACCCCAGTTCAGTTATTCTAATTTCCTCTGGGGATGCCCCAGCCCTGGGCTACCTCTCCACAGGTCAGCTGCAGGTGGGCACCCGAAGCTTTGAGGCCTCCTTCCCAAGGCCCCAGAGGGCCCGTCTCCGACAAGGGGTTCCAGACTCACAGAACTCCTTGGGGTGGGCACACTCTATCTCACCCTCTCTTGTTCAGCTGGGGCGACTGAGGCACAGAGAGGAGCAAGGTCTTGCCCAGCATCGCACAGCAACTCTATGTGATCCATCTCAGTCCGAATCCCCCCACTGATCCAGCCGCACTCACGTACCTCTCTCAGTGAAAGCCTGGTCGCCACGCTCCTGAATCCTGCTGAACAACTCACCACCTTCCATGCTTTAAGAGAAGGTGATTGTAAGCAGGGAGGGGGAGATTCAAGTGTCAGCCTGCCCTTGCCCCGAATCATGGGCCCAGACCCTGCTGCTCTTCCCCTGGGGAACAGCCACTGTCAGCCTCCCCATGCCTTGTACAGCCTAGAGCATGGTGGGCTGTCAGCTTGGATGGGTTAAACTGAACTCTTAGAACTAGGGGAGGGTGGTAGGCTCAGATTCTCCCCAGGGAGTCCTCGTATGCCCAGTGGCACTGCCCCCCACATGGCTGAGACTTGGGCAGCCCCACCCCATCCAAGTCTCAGTTTCCCCAAATGAGCGATGAGATGTCAATTATCATCATGACCACTGTTTTCTGAGCACCTACTGTGTGCATTGCTGTGTGACCTTGGGCTAGTCCCTTCACCTCTCTGTGCCTTGGCTTCCTCTTTTGTAAAACAGGGATTATAGCACCAACCCCACAGAGTTGTAAAGACTGAACCAGCAATACACATGGAGCACTTAGAAGGGAGTAAAGCACAGAGCAAATGCTATATTAAAATCTTCCTCCACATTTTACATGGGAGCCACAGAGACTCAGAGAAGTTAACAGCTGCCCAAGGTCACACAGCTAGTGGGTGGCAGAACCAGGATCTAGACCCCAAATCTGACTCAAGAGCTGGTAACCTGTAGGGTGAGAGAAGACCCCAAAGGCAGACAGAGAGGCACTGGAGGCCAAGACATGTGCCCAGGACCTGAGGGAGGCTAGGGCTGAGCCGCAGTGCTAGTGGGAGAAGCCCTGGGTGGAGGGGGCAGCTGTCTCCTGGTTCTGGGCCGTGATCACCCAGCATCTGGTGGGACCAGGGGAGCACAAACCCGGATAGGAAGGAGAAAGCTGAGGGGACAGTGTATGTCCTGCTCTTCCCCAAACCTCTTCCCCCTCACCCACATTCAGGCTTGGTGGCCTTCTCTGACAGCTCTTCCAGCCCCTCCTCACAGAGTGGACATCACATGCAGGGAGCCCACCTTAGAGCCCCTGTAGTTCTCGCCCACCCTGTGGGAATGGCCTTGTGGCAGCCGCACAGCTCATGCGCAGTGCCTGCTGCTGTCCCCTCCGCTACTTCTCAGGGTCCAGGGTGCCTCCTGGAGCTGCTATCTGAAGAACAGAGAGGGCCCCTAGAAGAATGGCAGGAGGCTGGGGCCTCAGGGGTACCGATGAGCTGCCAAGGCAGGTGGCCAGCATACCATTCCATGATGATAAGGAGACAGCGTCTGCCATGATGCATGTTCTCATAGACGTCCAGGATGCGCACGATGTGGGGACCACCCGAGGCCTGCCAGTGGTGCTCCACCTCCTGCCGGGCCTTAGGGCTGTCATACAGGATCTGGAGAGGGTGGTTATAGAAAATGTCAGGCTCACAGCAGCCACCCAGATAGTGCCACTGCCCTCACTTTGCAGAGAAGGACATATAAGCTCAGAGAGGCCTGTGACCTGCCCAAGGTCACCCAGCTTTTGAAGGGCAGAATGGGGATTTGAGTCCAGGTTTCTCTGATGTGTGGTCCAATAAGCCTCTGAACTTGACTGAAGGTCAGCCTCAAGCAGCTTGACTGGCAGCTCGGGGAGGCCCTGGGAGTGGCTGACAGCTTAGAAGGGCTCAGGGGCCAGAGAAGTCCCTGCTTCCCTTCTCGGGGCAGCAAGGGCGGTGGAGATTACGTGGGTTTTGTAGTCTGATCGCACATCAGCTGTGGGACCTCAGGAGAGGCGACACATCCCTTGAACCTCATTTTTGTAATGGGTTGTGGATCCAGAAATAGACTCTTGGGGCAGGGGTACCCTAGCTGAGGGAGGTGACAGCCTAGTGGAGTGAGGTCTGGGTTTGGGACTGAATTCCTCCAGTGACTCAGTGTGTCCTCAGGCAAACATTCACAGCTCCAAACCACAGCCCACAACTCTATAAAATGGAGTAATAACAGTCATCCCCACAGGATGCATCACAGCAAGGCAGGCAGTACGTGGGCGGCGCCAGCATCCTGGCTCAGGTTAACTCAGCCCTGGGCTATGGCTGCCAACCATAAGGCCAATCACCGGAAATGAGCAAGGTCCTGGTGTAGGGGGAGAAAAAAGTAGTCAGCCTGCAGGGGGAGGCGGTCCAGAAAGGAGGGAACAGGCACAAGCCATTCCCTGGCAGCGCCGCTCTCCGGAGGCCCAGCCACATTTGTTTTCTAGTTGAGCAGGGCTGAGGAGCAGGGTGAGAGCCCAAGACTGGGACTCAGATCAGCTCCATCTTGCTCAACCCCCACAGGACCCTGGGCTACCTCTGGCCTTGGTGTCCTCCTCTGCCAGGGCACTGTGTGGGACAGGCTCTGGGCCCAAGCTCTCTAGGCAAAGGTAAACTGGGGCAGGGAGGAAGGCAGTGGGTTCCCGCATTTGCTGCCCCAGCCTGGGAGTGCAGGGAGTTGGGCAAGACCTCCACAGGCTCTGGGGTCCCTGCTCCATTGCCCAGTCCAGGATGGGGGTGTGCACAGACACTGCTGTGGGCCGACTCTCCCAGCCTGGAAACCATGGATCCCTTGCTCCTGCTGCCTTTGGCTCCCACAACACCCCTCAATGCCGTGCCCACACAGCTCCTGCCACGCGCTTCTTGCTCACAGTGCTGGGGGTAGAGCCTCAGTCACCCCACTCACCACATCAGCTTGCCCCCCACTTTTTTGAGGTGGCTGTAGCGAAGGGTACCCCAGTCCTTAGCCAAAGGACCCAAGGTGTGCCATCCTCCCTCCCTGCTCTGTCCTCTCTGCACCCCTTTTCTGCTTGGCCTCCTACCACTTCTTCCTGCCCCCAGCCTGACCTGACCATGTCTTGAAGGGCCCCAGACTGGCTCCTGGACCCCCTCCTCACTGTGTCCTACACCAAAGTCCCCTCTCTTCTCTCAGAAAACCCCAAGCCCACAGCTGGAACACTCTCGGTATCATCCTTGGCCTCACCTCTCCCTCTCTGGCCGTTCACTTGTTCCCCCTCCCCCCTGTAAGTCTCTCCCACCCTCATCCTCCAGATAAAAGCCACCTCCTCCCCTGGTGTCCCTGGCTTGCCTTCCTCTCCCACCTCATTCCTGCTACTTCTGGCCCCCAAACACTTTTTGCTCAGCCAGAATGATGCACTTGCTGGCCCCAAACAGACCTCACTCTCTCAAGTCCGCGCCTATGCCACATGTACTCATCTCCTTGCCCCATCTCCCTCTCCATCAGGTCAGCTCTTCCTCTCTGAGGAAACTTCTGAGCTCGGTTCAGATGTCTCCTCCTCTGCAAAGTCCTCCCAGCACCTCCCCCAATGGCTTTTGCCTCTGTACCTCCCAGCAGCGGGAGAAGCAGCTAGAGGAGAGACAGGTTAGATTAAGCTGGGAAGTCCCTCACTGGGACAGAGTTGGGGGCACGGCGAAGGGAAGAAGACAGGAGCTATGGGAGGAAGAGGGCCCTGAGAGCTTCAGGCCAGGGCCTGTACCCTGTGCTCCACTGAGGTGGAGAGTGGGTGTAGCTGCCCTAAGCTGGGGCCTCTGGACGCCTCCCACCCCACTCAGTCCATATTTGGGAGTTCATTTCCCACACGGATTAAAATAATCCTTTACTCAGTGCCAAAGCCCTGAGAACGGACACAGGAGCAGGGAGAGGGCTGCCCCCAGAAAAGACAATGAATGCCCCCACCCGTCTCTCTGCAGGGGCCAGGGCCCTGGCCCCACTCATGCCCAGCCGCCAAGGTATCTCCTGGGTTGTCACTCTTGATCCCTAGGGTTGACCCTGACTGTGGTCCTAAACCTCTTAGAGCCTCAGTTTCCCCACCTTTCTTCCCCATAGCCAGAGCCTCCTGCTTTTCCAGGAATGCCTCCATTGTCACTTCTTCTCAGAAGCCCTCCCTAACTACCTTGTGTAAAGAAGACTTCAAGGGTCCCTCATTCTCTCTCCTCGCTTCATTTTTCTTTCTTTATATATGTGCTTTGTTTATTGAGGTATACTTTACATACAGTAAAACAAACAGATCTCAAGAGTCCAGTTCAATGAGTTTTCACAATTTCACACACCCTGGAACCCACACCCTCATCGAGACAGAAAACACTTCCCGCTCTCCAGAAAGCTCCTCCCTTGTCACCCTTTTTACCTTCCTCTTGTGCTGCTGCACTTGCTCACAACCTACAATTAGCTTGTTCCTTTTGATAACTCTTTAATCAAACACACACACACACACACACACACTGCACTTACAACGTGCCTGACTCTGTTCTGAGCACTTTATAAATAATAGAAGGGACTTCAGTATCGCCATTCTTTAGCTGAGAAATTGAGGCACAGAGAGGGGAGGGAACTGGCCCCAGGTCACGCAGCTGTTTCCCCAGGCAGGCCATCACCACGCTGCCTCCCTCACCAGCCTGTGGGCCCACCAGGGCAGGGCCAGTCTGCCCAGTTGGTCACCTGTGAGTCCCAGTACTGGGGTACAGGGCCTAGCACAGAGCACTGGCTCACATAATATTTGTAGATTTAATGACTAAATCTATAAACTAGGGGTGAGGGGAAGAAGCCTTAACAACCCATCATGAGGACTGAGTAAGATTAAATTGAGGGGGACCCAGGAAGGCTCAACAAATGAGAGACATGACAAACTGGCCAAACTTGCTCCCCACTGCACCTCACTCAACCTCTCTGTGAACCAGACTTTACCTCCTCTTCTGAGGAGCCCATCCTGACTGCTCCAGCTCATAAATCCATCGCTACGAGTTGGCTTCATTCATGCAGCTACATGAGTCCACACTATCTTTCATAAAAAGTGTCCCCAAGTGACAGCCCCATCTTCCCAGGCATGGGCATGAGCACCGGGCCAGCAGATAGGAGGCCTAGGTTCTCCTCCTATTCTCAGTGTGACCTTGGGCCTGTCAGTCCTTTGCTTCTCTGGGCCTGTTTCCCCAATGATAAGCTGCAGGTCTTGGGCTAGAGTGTGGTCAGGGGCTCCTTGCAAAGTACCTACTGTAACCCCACTCCCACATCCCTGCCCCCAGGGAGCAGCCCCTGGGTCTCCATGTACCCCATATTCAAGTGCCTGAACCCAATGGGAGCCACCTGATGCCTTGGTCTCCAGACCCAGCTTGGAAAAAAAGGAGACAGAGTGGCCTCTGTCAACCCAGCAGACCCCCACCCTTCTTTCACTCCCATCCGACATCCACTGGGCTTCCCCCAGGGGTCCAGCAAAGCTGGAGGGTCTGTGACGGCTCCTGGGCAGCTCCACAGCTTCGGCTCGCACCGAACAGGAACCCCACACACACTTGAGATGCAACGCCAGCTTTCTTCTAAGGGAGGGGGCTCCCATCCGTACTTGAGGTGTGGGGCCCACTTAAGTGAGACCAGCATAGAATGTGAGATGACAGTCCCTTAAACAAAGGACACTGTTCTAGCCTCAGGCTTTGCTCAAGCAGGTTCCACCTCCCTTCTCCCCTCACTCTCCTTTGCCAAATTCTCTTCCCTGCCCCCACAGACAGATGGTTGAGACCCCTGCCAACCCCACCAGACAGTGAAGCCCAGCAAAGTTGGAGGGCAGGGGCAGCTGATTAGTTCAGTTGGTTAGAGTGCAGTGCTTATAACACCAATGTTGCCGGTTCAAGCCCCACATGGGCCACCAAGATGAGCCCTCCAAAACTAGATTGAAACAACTACTTGACTTGGAGTTGATGGGTCCTGGAAAAACACACTGTTCCCCAATATAATTAATTAATTAATTAATTAATAATAATAAAAGGTTGAAGAGCCCACTGAGTGGCTCAGTTGGTTAAGAGCTCGCTCAAGAGTTTGAGCTCTGAGCAACAACGGTTCGATGCCTGGCCCGAGCTGAGCAGCCACTGAGCAGGTGGCAGGATGGCTCAGCTAAAAAAAAAAAAAAGTTGAGAGCAGAAGGGCCCGCGCCCCTCCAGCATCACCAGGTGGAATGGGAACCTCGGAACTGACCAGGCCCCCTCACTCCCTCCCACTGTGTCCCTTCCCACCCAAGGACCAATCCAGTGGTCACTACTACAGTAGGGGGAGGAATTCTTGAGTGCAGGAGTTGGGAAAACCACAGCAGCATTTGACTATTGGAAAACAATGTGCAGTTTACAAAACACTCTCTTCTCCTTATCTCATGGGAATGCTCAGGCCACCCTATGAGGCAAGGAGGGTGGGGACCATCAGCCCCAATTTACAGATTGAGGAAAGAGAGGCTCAGAAGGATGACATCATTGCCCTGGGGCCACCCCACGGAGGATGGTCCAGACAGCCCTTCCCTGAGGGGAAATGAGAGGAGGGGGTGGCCCCAAATTGGAGAAGCAGTGGCCAAAAGCACAGCTTGCAAAACTCGGGAAACTTGTTCTGAAAT